TTAGCCAGAAAAGTCGAAACTAAGGCGACTATGAAGAGCTTTAGTTGTGACTTAGGGCCGGTTACTCAATGTCTGGTTAACACTAATCAGCGGTGAAACATTGTTATCGACGTTACCGACTCCCTGTTATATGCATGGAGTCGAAGACGTCGATAACGATGTTTAACGGCAGATTAGCGTTAACCAGACATTGAGTAACCGGCCCTTAGAATAGTTTCGACTTAGTTGAGTACTAAATATGACTATGAATATGCGCCTATATAATTAAATAAAATTGTGTTTAATAGAAATGTAATAAATCGAGTGGCGTTATGTAAGATGTGCTCCATACATTTGGCGAACTGTTTTTCGCCTTCTCAACGTGCTAAGTGACAAGTTAAGATGACTGTCACCACGGCCGCTAAGAAGCCTGCTGTCTCCGAGTCGTAGCTGAAGTTCATCAAGAAGCAGGTCAGCAAACATGCTACCCTGATCAAGCGTGAACTAAAGCGCTGCTGTGATTGCACTCCGAAAACGTGAAAACTTGGTGAATCTGATGGACGCAGTGAGAATAAGTTGCGCCGTCTGGCAAAGAAACGCGGCTCATTTCCGCGGTATCAACAAAGGTGCACCAAAATTGCGTAAAGTTTTACTATTGTTCCGTTTTCGCCACATTCACCACGAATGGTTCTTCAAATTTACCCATTAATATGCTACGCATTGCCGAACCCTATATCACATGGGGCTATCCAAATATTAAATCAGTTCGTGAATTGATCTACAAACGTGTCCCAATCTCTGACAACTTTGTGATCGAACGCGAATTGCGCAAAGCGCACGATATTCAGTGCGTTGATTATTTAGCGCACGAAATATTCACCGTTAGATCCCACTTCAAGAAAGCCTCCAACTTCCTGTGGCCATTCAAGCTCAACACCAACCGGTGGCTGGCGCAAGAGGGCTAATCACTACGTTGAGGTTGGTGATTTCGGTAACCGTGAAGATAAGATCAACAAACTACTGTGCAAGATGGTTTAAAGAAATTTTTTGGTGTACAAGGTGGAGTATTTTTATTTCAAAAATATATAATAAATAAAAATAGTAAATCTGTTTTTGTTTTTTAACTTTCTGAAGGTTTAAACCGCAAATACGCCAAATGGAAGGAAGCTTATATTCACAATTCCTTGAATAGTGTCGAAATTCCATTGCCGTTTCTAAAGGCCATTTCAAAAGGCTCCAATCCACAAATTTAATTATTTGTGTTGGTTTTTCATTAATGATGCACCCAGAGTTGCATTTACCGTCTATGAAAATATTTTATGAAGCGTTCCAAAATTAGCTCCGAGCAACTAAAAGATGGTTAAGCTTAAGTGAAATAGTTTTTTGTTAATTATTCCTGGTACTTATTAAAAAAAAAAATTAGATTAATATTTATGTATGAAATGAAGTAAATAAAAATCTACGAATACATTTCATGAATATTTTGTCATAGAGCCGGTATTAAATACAGACATAACGGCGTCGGGTGTTGGTCTGGTCGTATATAGAATTAATGCGTGACTTTTTTGCTAATGCTAAACTTTTTTTTATTAATTAACGATGCTTTTTACTAATCAGTCTAATCGTGAGGTTCGCCAGAAATTTTTTCACCCACCCGAGAAAATGAAACTCTTGATAAGGGTGAATATGTCGGAAACTAAAGCAGATATTTAAAAACAGATAACGCTATTTGAAAGATCTTGATTAGTTTAGTACGACAGCATTGCTAACGTAATTTGTGCCAAATTACCGAAAACATTGTAGTCAATTACTCGGAAACTAAAGAAGATATCCAAAAAACTGTTAACAAAAAATCGAAATATCTTATTTTAAAATATATAACTGCATCTTTAACTAAAAACTGTCAAAATGATGCTTACGGAAACTTTGAAAGTTACTGGCATAATTTCGAACCTGTATGTAAATTTTCTCAAAAAGTTAAGAAGTATATTCATATTTAAAGTATATCATTAGCCCTGTTTCCAATTCCATGTAAATAAGTCCCTTCCATAATTTAATTTGTGCATTCAATATATTTCACAGTTAACTTAAATACTAAATTACAAATATTTGAGCAATGACTTTGACACAGTAAAATAAAAATTGGGTATGTATTAATAAAATAAATATTCTAAATACATTTATATTTCGGTTAAACCTGAGATGTTCAAGCGCACTGAAATATTTTTCTATCCATTTCTATAGTGCTAAAATAATTTTCACCACATTGAATTGCTGCACAACACCCTTATTACCGAAAAAGCGTTGCTTGCAACACTGGTCCTTTATAAGGACCAAATTTGGTGAAAAAATTTAGCTAAGTTTGTTTACTGGATATACTGAGCAGTGTTGCCATTTCGGTGCTTTTCGAGCTAGATTTAGCTCTTTATTTTTCTATTTAGCTCCGAAAATCGGGTTTTAGCTCCTAGCTCTTTTTTTAGCTCTTTTCAAATTTATGTAGCAATTTTTTAGCTCCAGAAAGTTTTATTGTATTTGGTATATATAAGCCAAAACTTATGCGTTGATAAAATGGAAAATTTCGAGATGCAGTGTATCCACCATGAACTCTTGGATCGAGGTTAAAGAGTTGAAAAATTAATTAAAATAAAATAATTTTTCTGATAGCGCGGATTTTGTTTTACCTTACTAATTTTACCTTTAAGGAGAGATGGAAGTAAAACTTTCCAGAAAAATTTTGCGAAAAAATTTTTCAATTCAAATATCTTAAATTACAGACTTTAACAGTTTGTAAAGTATTTTTAGTTCACTGTTATAAGTGTCATAGCAACGAATTTTGAAATATATGCACCTTATTTTGGTTTAAAGATTTTTTTCAGCACTTAGGGCCGGGTACTCAATGTCTGGGTAACACTAATCTTCGGTTAAACATCGTTATCGACGTTACCGACTCCCTGTTGTATGCATGGAGTCGAAGCCGTCGATAACGATGTTTGACCGCAGCTTAGTGCCCTTAGGGCCGGTTGTTCAATGTCTGATTAGCACAAATCGGAGGTAGAAGCTCCGGTTAAGCACAACTACAGCTTTATCGAACAGATGTCGAAATCGTCGATAGTGTAGTGGTAGTGATAACCAGAAATTGAACAACCGGCCCTTAGGGCCGGTTTCTCCATCTCTGGTTAACACTAACTCCCCGGTTAAACATTGTTATCGACGTTCTAACTCCATGCATATAACAGGGAGTCGATAAGGTCGGTACCGATGTTTACCGGGGGATTAGTGTTATCCGGAGATAGAGAAACCGGCCCTTAGACTTATAAAATTCGTTATTTTTATTAAAATTGCCGGCACAAATGCAGTTGGGCTCCAAATCTCAAATAAACAAAAAATATTGGAATCGATAGAGATGATTGAGCTGAGTATAACGGTATACTTCTTTTTTTGGGCAAACAACAACAACAAGAATTATCAAAGGTTAAATTTCAAAATAAGCAATTTTTGAAATCAAGATTTCTCAAAAACGAATGAATGGATTTTGAAAATTAAAGCTTACAGACCCTAAGTGCGGCCGAGGCCGCCTACGCAGAAAGGTGTTCTCTGCAAAAGGTGTTCAGTGCCTTTTCTTCGCAACACAGAAAGAGAATTTTACGTTGTGAGGGTTATAATCCCTAAGCGCGGCCACAGGCCGCCTACGCAGAGAGGTGTTCTCTGCAAAAGGTGTTCAGTGCCTTTTCTTCGCAACACAGAAAGAGAATTTTACGTTGTGAGGGTTATAATCCCTAAGCGCGGCCACAGGCCGCCTACGCAGAGAGGTGTTCTCTGCAAAAGGTGTGTTTTTATAATTATTTTACATTAATTCAATTTTTGTAAGAACTGTACAACATATATATAAAGTATGTATACCAAATTAAAGGGAATCAAGTTTCCTATTAAATGAGATCAAGAGATGAGATTTTCAAGATCCATCCATCCGTTTTTAAGAAATCTTGATTTCAAAAATTGCTTATTTTGAACTTTAACCTTTGATAATTTTTGTTGTTGTTGTTTGCCCAAAAAAGAAGTATACCGTTATACTCAGCTCAATCATCTCTATGGATTCCAATCGTTTTTTTTTTGAGATTTGGAGCCCAACTGCATTTGTTCCAAATTTCCGAACATGTAAAAACAACCTTAATCTATGTTCCCATTAGCGTAATTTAGAGGCCAATCTTAATTTACGCATAAATTAAGTACAAACTAAGTAATTTCGCCTTGTAAAGTCTCTCAGTAAATTAAGTTGAAAGTACGTAGTTTATCTTAAAACAAGAACCAAATCACGAACAAATCAGTGTCGGTTCTAATTTTATCGATAATAATCGAAAAAAGTATTGTCCCACTGATATGTCATTGTGTTTGGACGTTTTTGTTTTTAACAATCGCGCGTGGTAGTTTGTAAAATATTTCCAGAAGCTTTCTCTTTTGATCACTCATCTAAAATCTAAAAAATTACCACAAACAACTCAGAATATAAAAACACACGCAATTACTCACATTCGCGATCTCTTTAGGTTAAATAAACAATAACACAGGGTTGCTACAAAGCTGTCAAGAAAAATAAAGAATCGCGTGTATGAACGCACTTAATTTAGTGAGGTATTTTAAACGAAACTAAGTATTTTATGTTGGTAATGTGAACATAGTTTAACGTCAATAAATGCTCAACCTAAACAAAAATATGTAGCTCCTCATTTTAGCTACTATTAGTATTATTTAGCTCTTTTTTCGACCGTTTTAGCTCCAAACGAAAGTCTTTGGTTCTTTAAATAGGAAGCAACGAAATTGCCAAAAGCAAAGCAAGAAGGTTGAAACGACGCATGTGTACTCGTCCCTTTTCTTCTCACCCCCTCTCTTTCACATGCGAGCAGAATTGAGTTGAATTAATTACTTGAACTGTGTAAAAGCAGTCTTAGAACGGACTGTGTACATTGCACACAAAAGTCGATGCATCAAATACAAATGTATCGAGTTCTCGATGTATAGCGGAAACATCGGTTTTATTGGATACATCGAATAGCATTGATGTTTTTTTTTGCTTTCCTACTTCTAGTAAGGTTTAAGTAAACAGTTGTATTCCTTGTTCGTATAAGACAATTAGGATATGTTTTCAAGCTCAATGACAACACAAAGGCTTAAATTTGTTGAGTGGCTTTATACATATAGTAAATGCATGTATAATGTAAAGGGCAACATAAATGTCTATAAAATTTGCAAACCGAAAAGGACTACGACTAAAGGAGCGATATGTAGCCCAAATCTAATGACTAAATGTAATACCAAAGAACCAATAACCGATTTTGAAGAAACTGCAAATTTTAAATTCAAAACTCTGTTATATGATGAAAATTCCGACAATGTCCTAGCCGAAATCAACTCTTGCGAAGATAAGAACAAAGTAATTAATATTATTTTCGTTTTATGACGGCAATATATAATTTGCATTATATCGTGAAATTTTCTTTCAGTTGTCGGAGTTAATAAAAACATCACATCATAAATTAAATCATAAACATTTTATACAGTGCATTCTAGTTCTCAAAGACCTTTGCCGAAGTATTCAATACGATTCTGAAGACAAATTACTAGAAAATATTTTACATGGGTTGAAACCTCATGTAAAAGCGATGAATATAGCGGAACAAAGCTGTTGTTACCTTTATTTACGCAAATTTGAGATACCAAACGAAAATACCGTTGTTAGTCAGCTGCTGGGCAATGCTTTGGAAAAAATTGCGACTACACCAGATAATCCAATTGCTTTACCTGCATTATCTCGCCTGGCAGTAGGTATTAATACTGGAAATGACTTCCACGTACCGTCAGTCTGTAATCACTTCATTCCTCATGTAATGTCTCATATTCAACAATGCAAAAACGAGGACGATTTACGTTTGATTTCAGTTTGTCTAATAAATCTGCAGCCTTTGATTACAATTGATATTTTAGAAACATTTAAGGCGAAGATAGATGATGTACTAAAAAATTTTACAATCGGTGCGGAGAATCAAAGGACTGTATTAAAATTGCTACATTTGTTGAATCATCCAGCATGGTCCCAACAAAACGGGCGTGTTATTCGCAATCTGTTATTACTATTGCAACCGAATTTATCAAAGTTAAGTATCTCGGACCTTAAAACCACCAGTACAATTTTCGGTTATCATTTGGAGCCTGCAGCTTTAGTTGCCCCACTAAGTTCATTGATGAAGGATTTAATTCATTATCAGCATAAAACTGATCTAATCGCTGCATATATGCCATTTTTAGAACCACATCAACGGGAACCTACAGTAGATGTTTTTAAACATTCGATCTCTACTTCAGAACGTTTTCCAAGTCTTTATGATGATGGGGACTTCTTTCAAATAATTCGTGCTTTAAAGATATCTGATGCAAGTATATGTGATGCTTACTGGTCTAATGTGCTAACCTCAGTCAAAAGCATTGGCCACAAGGAATCCGATTTACGATTTTTAAAACACTGTCATCGGTACATGCATTTTAATAACAACTTAGGTGGTACATATCGTTTCATACCGCTAGAACGGCGATTGTGTCAATTGGCTATGGAAGCAATTGAAAACGATATAGCTGCCCGATTGCCCTATAAATTTGCACGTTTAGCCTCTTTTGTGCTAGCATATGGTCATACTCCTTTTGGCTGGAAGAAGTTTCCCAATGTACTACTTTCTAAAATCATATCCATGTCCTCTCAGTTCAGTGTAAAGGATTGCTTCTATCTAAGCCGAGGCATACATATTGCTTTGGAATTACGGTAATGCTTTTTGCTTAACTATTTAATTAAAAAATAAATAAAAGTATCGAATTATTTTTAGATTTCGTAATACTACTTCGTCGTTGCTAGTGATGCAACTCGCCACTTTAGATAGTGTTCTAACAGACTGTGTTGCGAGACATCTAGAAAATAATTCTTTGTCAATATTTGATTTAAATACTATAGTAAGAACCCTTGGATATAGAAAGTGTACGCTATTAGATACAACTTTTATGTGGATATTAATGATTATCTATTTTATACTTCATATTGCAGCTTTCAAAAATAAAACGATATACTATGAAGCATTGGATCGGTACAAACAACTAGATTATAAAGAAATCAACTCACGCACGATAAGAGAAATGGCTTTTAACTTCAACGCTGCAAATTGTTCTGTACCCATTGCTCTGGAGGCAATGTTTAGGTATATTGAACATCATCATGAAGTTGTCATTGGAGATACTGTGGAAAAGGTTTTAACTTGTGCATATAATCTCGGGTATGCGCCCCAATCTAACACAGCGCTTTATAATGCGGCTCTGGTTTTGAAACGGTAATCAATATTTTACTCTTAAAATAAGCTTCAGTTTACAGCAATTCAAAGTATAATTTTAAATCATTTAAGTAGCCGCCGCTGTGGTTTAGTGGTTAGCAGTGCGTGCTGCCACTCTGCAGGGCCCGTATTCACGCGCTGGTCAAAGCAACATTCAAAATATATTGCAAAATGTTTTTTTTTTCTTAACAGCGCACGCCTCCGGCAGGCAATGGTAAACCTCCGAGTGTATTTCTGCATGAAAACAGCTTCTCATAAAATTACAATTGCCGTTCGGAGTCGGCGTAAAACTGTAGGTTCTTCCCTTTTATGTGACGACATTAAGGCGCACGCCATAAATCGGAAGAGAAGCTCGGCCAAACACTAGCAGGATGTATAAGCGCCAATCTGTTATTATTAGTTGCGTTCTCTAACTCGCAAGAAGTTGGAAGAATTTACAGGAATTTACCAGAAAGCGATCCCGTATTCGGTTCTCTGGCTTCTTTTGCTTTTTGACAGTTTTACAAGTTTAAACCCAGAAAAGTTGGGGAACGCAACTATTATTAAGTTTCGGTCCTGGCAATAGAAGAATTATAATCGCAATGATGAATTTTAAATCTGTTTTAAGCATTGCATAAAGCCGATGCAACCTTCGGTAAGAGGAATGAATTATTAAATCAGTCAGATCTATGTGCATCAAATTCTGTGCTATGAAATAATTCAGTAAATTTACAATAATTCGAAAACGTCTGGACAGTATTACAAACCAGGGACCGTAACGGTTATGCTAGTTATCAAAAAAGTTAAAAAATAATCGTTATTTTCTTTCTCTTTCTTTTCGGTCAAAAATAAAAGTTAACACTTGACTTTTATTTTTTCCGTCAAATAAGAGCAGATGAGCTCAAGCAACGACTGTTGACAACTGGCATTGCTTGAGCTAATCTGCTCTTTTGCCAGACTGCCAGGCAAAATATACCACTAATATTATTATTATTATTATTATTATTATTATTATTATTATTATTATTATTATTGCAACATATTTTACAAATGAATTTGTAAAATACTACATGGTGCGGGCGACGAGGCCATTATGCACCGGTGTTAGTTTAAGTAGTTATGTTTCGTCTAACAAGTTGTGGCTGTATAGCATTTTTTTGATTACGGCGATGTTGTCTTTTTTGGAGCAGTCTAATAACTCCCGTATTTGTTGGTGACTCTTAGAGATGGGACAGTGCAACACGATGTGTTCAACAGTCAACGTTGTCAGGCAGGATGTGCAGGAAAGTGGTTCGCGTTTAGTGTGCAGGTGTTTGGTTGAGAAGAGTGTTGTCCCCAGTCTGATTCTGGAGAGCGTTATGCAGTCCTGCCGGGAAAGATCACTGTCGTAGTTTGGTCTTCTGGGCAGATTGTTGTGCTTTTGGAGACACGAGTTTGAGCTACGCCAGACATTTAAATTGTTTTCTAAAGCTTTAGCTGAATAGCAAGTAGTTATTATTGAGTGTAAACATGGGAATTCATATACTAGTGGGAGAGTCAGCGCTTCCTTTGCTGCTTGGTCGGCGGCTACATTGCCTGGTATTCCCGTGTGTCCTGGTACCCAAAGGATTTTTGTTGGGTTTTTTAGTTGACTCAAATTCAGCATATTGTACTGCTAGCTAGAGCTTTGGTTGCACCAAGGCTATCTGAACATATAAGTGTTTTACGATTTTGCTTTGCTGCGTATTCGATGGCCCACTGGATGGCACTCAGTTCTGCGTGAAATATTCCGGCGTGTGGTGGCAGTATACTTTGTTTCACAACGGAGAAGTTGTTTCCCCCCATTTTTTTGACCACTGCATAGGATGTTGCTCCGTCTTGAAAGGAACCATCTACATATAATATAATTTCGGGTGAAAATGTTGCAAATGTTATTCGGCAAAGTAGATGCAAATATTCTGCAGCACAGGTGTTGTTTTTGGTGTGACTGCTGAGTTGGGTGTCAATTTGTAACCATTGGTTGTAATCACTTTGCGGTTGTTGTGGCTTTTCCGGAATAGGCAGTTTCAAGTCGAGCAATAATTTAATAGTGTTTTTAATGCTACACAAGTTACAGCTAGAAATTTCATTTTTAGATACATTTATGTGTTTCCAAAAAAGCTCATGTAGGCTTGCTTGTGTTGATGTAATTGCTTTGGCCGCCAGTTTCACGGCGCTTTTCTTACGCGTGTCTTGGAAGTCTTGATAACGTGCTTCAACTCTAAGGGCATCCAAGGGAGTTGGAGGAAGGGCGCCAATAGCTGACCTGAAGCATTTGTTGACGGCGGTGTTGATTTTCCTTACATTATTGGCGGATGTCCATCCATAGATTGTAATGCAATGTTGTAATATGCCATTTGTTAGGGATTGGCATATGTTGAGGGCTGTTTCTAAATGTGGACCTTTTTTACGAGAGCAGATAAGTTTCATGAGATTGTTAACTTTGTTGAGTTTGTTCACAACGTACTTCGATTGTTCATTCCATAGTAACGTTTTCGTAAATACAACCCCAAGAATTCTAATACTATTTTTGATCTGGATGTTGTTCCCTCTCAACTTTAAGGTGGTCACTGCACATTTCTGTTTACGGCACACGTGTAAGGCTTCAAGTTTGCTAATTGGCACTATTTCGCCCCTGCTTTTCGCCCAAATGTTGATTTTATGGTCCAAGGACTCAATGTGGTTTCCAACCTCCCTTTGTGGGCCTGAAGATATTGTCAAAATGTTATCCGCGTAGATTCCGAGAAAGTCTAATCCTTCAGATTTTTTGAGCTCAACAGCGAGCGAGTTTGTGTAGACATTATATAGAACAACGGAGAGTGGTGAACCTTGCGGTAGCCCGTTTTCCAGGGCGCGTTTATGGGAAAGGTAGCCGTCTATCCGTGTTGTAATTAGTCGGTTGGATAGAAAGGATGAAATTACTTGCAGTAGTGTTTTCGGAATGCCCCATTCGTGAAGCTGTTTGATAACAAAAGTATCAATTACGCGATCGAAAGCCTTCTCTAGGTCCTCAGACAAAACGATACTATGCTTTTTGTTGGCCATGTTTTCTTTTAACTTGCTTTCCAGTTGATGGCAAAGAGTGTGCACGCCGCGTTGGGTTAAAAAGGCGTGCTGTTCTGTACATATTTTATTTTGCAGACAGGTCGTTAATCGTTTTGCGATTATTTTCTCAAAGATTTTGGAAATGACGGGTAGAAGTGATATGGGTCGATAGCCTTCTACGCTATTGGGGCTTTTTCCAGGTTTTGGGATGGGTATTAAAGTAGCGTGTTTCCAGTCGTGTGGCACCGTACCGGTTACTAGAATTTTGTTGTATAATCGACATAAGCGCTTTTGGAGATTGGGTGAGATATTTCTCAACATTGAGTAGGTTATTTTATCCATTCCGGGGCTGGACCCTTTGGCACTCTTTAGGACTAGATGAAGTTCGAATGTTGTAATGTCTTTGATACTGTCTGTTAAGCTAGGCTTCTGGTCGGTTAAATTAGCAATTTTAAAATTGGTTTTTTCTGTAATTAATTTTGGGGAGAATTTGCTGTTGGAGCTAACTTGACTCCAGTTGTCTGCTAGTTTGTTAGCAATATCTACAGGATGGGTAAGGACAGTGGATTCCAGCATTATATTTGGAAAGTTTTCAGTATTACCAGCTCTCAAATTATTTACCTTTTTCCATAGCACTCTGATGTCCATGTCGGGGTTTAGCGAGTTGAGGAAGTTGCTCCAACATTTCTTTTTGGACTCTTTGCAAGTCCATTTAACTTTGGCGCATATTTGCCTATAACTGGAGCAGTTGGACTCGTTTCTATTACGTTTAAAGCGATTCCATGCTAGATTTTTTTCTTGAATGAGCTTGGCAATATCTGAGTTAAACCATATTGGATTGCATCGCTGTGGCGGCTGCCTGTTATGAGGAATTGACTCATTAGCTTATCTTCGGATAATACGTTTGATTTGGGCTGCTTCCCTGTTTATGTTGTTGGATTCCTCGTAATCGTAGCAGTACCGATCGGTCTTACTTTCGAACAAATTCCAATTAGCTTTTTTGTGTATAAACTTCGGATTGAGACGTTTGCAATGTCTCTCTATGCGATTATATATGAAAATTGGAAAGTGATCGCTGGCTACTGGTTGGGGTAGGCATTTCCAGGTGAGGGTGGCCGCTAGATCCGCAGAGGCCATAGAGACGTTGACCGTTGTGAGTGTGCCCTTTGTTGTGAGCAATGTGGGCGATCCGTCATTCAANGAGGCCATAGAGACGTCGACCGTTGTGAGTGTGCCCTTTGTAGTGAGCAATGTGGGCGATCCGTCATTCAATATAACGAGGCTTCTGTCATCTGAGAAATTTTCCCAGATTATGCCGCTGCGTGATGTGTGTTTGGAGCCCCATAGAGTGTTTTGTGAGTTGAGGTCCCCGATGATCAAGTGATGCCCTATGCTGTACTTAGGGATATCATTGATCATCTGCGGAGTAAGATAAAGTCACATTCTTTATATGCGTTAGTTATATGAAGTTGTGCGTTCCCGTTTATGGTTACAGTATGAAATAACAAATTGTTGCTCGATGTTTCGTGATTTTGCACGTTAATAGTTTGCTTAACTAGGATCGCTACACCAGATTTGGCGTATGAATAATCTTTGTTGTGACTATATATTGTATCTTGGTAGGTGCAGCATGTTTATATTTTGGTCAACTATATGTGTTTCTTGTAGAACAATGATGTCGGGATTATGGTTGGCGACTAGGGTTTCGAGCGCGAATTTATCATTTATATAGCCCTGAATATTCCATTGGAGTATGTTTATATTTAACAGAAAGTTCATAAATATTTAACTTAGAAAAAATTGGAATTAAGTTGTGGTTTGAGTTAGTTGTTTATCTTCGTGTGTCTGTGTGGCTGGCATTGTTTGTTTGAGTGTTTTTGGCGTAATTAAGGCATTGAANTTGACTCGATGCCAGCCCTGAGTAGGAGAATACGTAGTGAATGTAGCCCTATGGACGG